GGGGGGATGATTAATCACATTGATTTCTGCAACATGACGGCTCGGTCAGTTCTAGAGGGAAATTCCTGAGCAAGCAGGCCCAGAATTCCATCGGCAATGCTCCAGGATTGACAGGAAAGTCTCCAGGAATGGAAGAATCACCTGCGCTGACAACAGCAACACAGAAGAGAAAGCTACAAGGCACAGGAGATGAGTCGTACAGGACTCAAAATTGTAACTCTGCCTCTCTCTCTCTCTCTCACCACAGCTTCTGCCAAACCTGCTGAGATTTCCCAGCAGTTTCCGTGTTTGTTTCGGATTTCCTGCGTATGCCGTATTTTGCTTTGATTTGAGGCAATTGAAAGGGTCGACTTTCTCCAAAATTAAAACAAAATAAAGCTATTGATTTTATTGTGTGGTTATGGAGACACTGAATTTGGGCTTGGATTGGGAAGGAATGACTGATTTGACAATCCAAGTTCATCGAACCCCTCTGCAGTGTGGAAGTAGGCCATTCGGCCTATTGGGTTCACACCAACCCTCTGAGGAGCATCCCACCCAGACCCACCCTATCCCTGTAACCCTGCATTCCCTGTTGCTAACCCACCCAGCCTGCACCTCCCAGGACACTATGGGGCGATTTCCCATGGCCAATCCACCCTAACCTGCACACCTTTGGACTGTGGGAGGAAACCGGAGCACCCGGAGGAAACTCACGCAGACACAGGGAGAACATGCAAACTCCACACAGTCAGTCGCCTGAGGCTGGAATCAAACCCAGCTCCCTGGCGCTGTGAGGCAGCAATGCTGACTACTACTGTGCCACCCAAAATCCCCCAAATCAGAGCAGATCGATGTTTGACAACTGGCACAGACACGATGGGCCAAAGGGCCACTTTCTGTGCTGTAAATGCTTTCTGACTCTGTCTTTCAGCAACCAGCCTGTTCATATCCACTCAGCATCTTCCAGGTTTCAACAAGATCACCTCGACACCCCAATGAGTACAAGGTCAAGCCTCTCCTCATAAGCTAATCCCTGAGGAACCAGTCAAGTGAACCTGCTCAGAATTGGTTTCAGAGCTGCACAATTTCCCGGAACAAAGAGAAGTGAACAGCCCTCCCTCAGATAACAATTCCATAAGCAGATCTTCAGGTCATTTCAGTCTGATGGTGATGCACTGGTAATGGCACTGAGCCACTGATTCAGCTTAATGTTCTATGGGACATTGGTTCAAATCCCACCAAGGGGGCTGCTGGAATTTAAATTTAATCCATAAATGCAGAGTTAAGTTCAATTAATAAATCTGCAATTAAAAGCTAACCCATTGTTCCAAATGCTTAGATCCGATGAAGAGTCAATAGACTCAAAACATTAATTCTGCTTTCTTCCCACAGATGCTGGCAGACCTGTTGAGTTTCGCCAGCAATTTCTGTTTCTATTTTGGATCTCCAGCACCCTCACTTCTCTCTTTTATTTATGATGTTGTAGAGCTCATCCGGGTTCGCTAATGAGGAAGGAAATCTGCTGCCCTTTTCTGGTCTGGCTTATACATGACTCCAGCCCTGCAGGAAATTGGTGGGGGGGGGTCACTTCATTGCCCCTGGAACACAGTCGTAGGCAATTGGGGATGAGCTACAAATGCTAGTCTTGTGAGCGCGTTCTTCTTGCTGACTGGAGATTGCCGTCTGTCCCAACAGGACATAGCCTCGAATCATAGAATCCCTACAGTGTGGAAGCAGGCCATTTGGCCCATTGAGTCCATACTAATCCTCCAAAGAGCATCCCACCCAGACCCATCCCAATACCCTACCCCTGTAACACTGCATTTTGCATGGCTAACCCACCTAACCTACAAATCCCTGGACACTATGGGCAATTTCCCATGGCCAATCCACCCTTACCTGCACACCTTTGGACTGTGGGAGGAAACCCACGTAGACCCAGGGAGAATGTGCAAACTCCACACAGACAGTCACCTGAGGGTGGAATCGAACCCGGGTCCCTCGTGTTGTGAGGCAGCATGGCTAACCACTGAACCACCGTACTGCCCCATCCCAACCCGGTCTGTCCATATTCCTGAAGAATTTGCCTCCTGCTTTACCAACCCTGTTTCCCCCACTCCACCCCAACACTCCCACCATTGGTGTCCAACCTGTCCATCCTCACTGCACCCACTTCCCTACACTTTTCATTTTCCAGCTGGATGATGAGCAGCATGGTAGCTGAGTGGTTAGCACTGCTGCCTTACAGTGCCAGGGATCCAGGTTCAATTCCACCCTGGGGCAACTGTGTGGAGTTTACACATTCTCCCTGTGCCTGCATGGGTTTCCTCCTACAGTCCAAAGATGTACAGGGTAGTTGGATTGATGAATGTAAATTGCCAATAGTGTGCAGGGTAGGTGGGTTAACCATGATTGAAAAAAGCCCCATGCAGGATTACAGTGGGCGCAGGTCTGGTCTTTGGAGGGTCAATGATGGGCTGAATGGCCTCTTTCTCCACAGTAGAGATTCTATTCTAATCCCACCTTCCAGCACTCAGCCTTAGAGCTATCTACACTATGGTGTTTCAAGTGCTTAACATCTAAATATCTTGAGGGTTCCTGTGTCCACTGTCAATTGGAAGATGCTCCACTTTCTAAGGGAGACATTGTTTAAAAATTAGGGGTCCATATTAAAACGGAGTAATACTTTTTCCTCTCAGAGTGAATCATGGGCTTGTGGAATTCTCCCTCCCTGAGTTTCTGGGGGGCTGGATCCCTCAAATAGGATAGGAACCTGAACTATTCTGGTGCACGGTCACCGGTAACACTGTCATAACCTGAGCAGGAATTTCCAAGTCTAATAGTCAATCCATTGTGCCAACAAGCTGCAATGTAAGTAGAAGCTGGCCAGAGAAAACTCTGAGAGAATGCTTACCTGCAGGGTCATTATGGGTTAGCAGTTGGATGTTGTTCTCATTGGCGAAGGCAGCAAGGTCAGGTGGTATTACACAGCAAGAGGCCAGGTTCACCTGTAAACTGCTAGGTCGTACCTGGGAGTAAAAATACCCAGGTTAGAACAGGGACAGCAGGTAGATGAAAACATTTACATTTGAGTTGCCTGATATAAACACAATACTGCAGATGCTTGAGATTGGAAAGAAAATTGGAAATTGCTGAAGAGGCTCAGCAGCGATACCTGTGGGGAGGGGAACAGAATGAACATTTTGAGTCAAATAAGACCTTTTCCATGAGAAATGTTACTCGGTTTCTCTCTCTCTCTCTCTCTGTGCCTATTAGGTATAAGTCCTGTCTCATTTCTCTCATATTTATCTGCTCCTCACTAATTTCCTTCACACCTTCCCTGTTGACATGGGGTCTGGATGGATTCGATACTTTTTGCTCCTGATAGGCACTTGGCAAGAGAGAATACTGTAGGTTTATTTGATTACAGTGTGTGTCAAACTGAATCTCAGTCCAGATCAACACAACATACACACTCACACACACACACACACACACACAGACACACACACACACAGACACACACACAGACGAAACACTCTGTACATACTTGCTGACACACACACACACTCACATACATATGCACACACACACATTTTCACGCACACTACACACACATACATATATGCATACAAACAGACATCCCTTATACGCACACAGGCTCACATACACATATACACATGCATGCACATACACACATACACAGACACACATGTACATACACTTGTGCACATACATGCCCACATAGACATGCAGGTGTACACTCAGGCACACATGCATGTTCACGCATGCATATACACACATGCATACATACGCACACACACATATATGTACATGCACACAAACACACACACATATGCATACATGCACACGCTCACACACACGCACACACATATGCACACACACACACACACACACACACATGCACACACACTCATGCACACGCACACACACATGCTCACATGCACACACACACAAACACACACACAAACGCACACACACATGCACACATGCTCACACGCACACACACACACACACGCACACAGACACAGACACACACACACGCACACAGACACAGACACACACACGCGCACACAGACACAGACACACACACGCGCACACACACAATGATTTTAGCCCGTTTTGGCTCTGAACCTGCCATTGTACCCGTAGAACAGTGAAGTCAGATCAGGGATTGAACTTATTGATGGCTCTGTCTGTGATTCTGTAATCCCTGTTGTTTACTGAAGGGACAGCTGCCGACAGTAATGTGACCACTATTTCTTTCGGCAATGTTGAGAGAGAGGTACAGATACTGGCTAAGGTGAATGACCAAGTTCATGGGATCTTTACTCAGCCAGAGGGGCCCTGGATTGCACATGTCTTCCAAAACCCAGCACGTCTGGCAGTGCAGCTCTCCCGCAGTGCTGCAGAGGGATGGACGGTCAAGAATTTGTGCTCTGGAGTGGTACTCGAGCCGAGCTCTGGCTGAGTCCTGTGTGCGATGGAATATATCCACCTGGGTAAGGAATTAGAGAGCTGCAAATGCAACAAGGCTTCAGGAGAATGGGGACAGAAGAGAAACGGGGTTGGGGTGGGCGGAGAACACACCTGAGTGTGCTGGCACAAAGCTTCCAACACTTCCTGGTCCAAGTCTGAAACTCCGATGGACGCAATCTTCTGCTCTTGGACCAAGTCCTCCAGTTCTTTCCAATAAGGCTTCAGGTCCTCCAGAGTTGGTCGGTGCCCTTCTGATAGGGCAGCAACTGCGAGGATTACAGAATCCAGCTGGCTGATTCCTAGCTCCAAACAGGCTGGAATTGAAAAGCGAAAAGGTCCTCTTTAATTGCACACTTCCTGAATTCAGAACGCCAGGCCAGTTGGGTCTTTAGTTGTCCAACCTAGGGATGATGGTGAAGGGAGGCCCCAAGTCTATGGGCAGGTACACATTGGTGGATGGTGAACACTACAGGTTAGGATCTACCAGGATTACATGTGGAAAGGTCAGGCACTGAGCAACTCTGGAGGAGGAGAACTCTGTAATTGAACCCAACTTGATACATTTAGAGGGAGATTTTCAAGGACTCATCGGTGACTGCACAACACAGGGTGATTCCCAAGGTGAGTGGCATCATATTCCTCTGCAATAGGAGCACCCAGCTGAGATTGTGCAGGAGGACACTCATAGATGCTAAAGCAGGAGCGAATGGATGCCATTGATGGCCCAATAAGCTGCAAGAACAGGGGAATTATTTACAACCTCCAGCAAGGATCTGGAAAGTGTGTTCATGGGCTCTCTTGGAGTCATAATGGCTCAGATGGAGGTCATTCAGCCTATCGAAGGTAACAGTCAATGGATGAGATAGGTTGCTGCTGTGGAAAGGGTGAGCTTTATGTCATACCCACGGCATTTCACAAGCAACGGACGACTTTTGCCATCACTGCATCCTCCTGTGCACAGCGCAATCCCGGAAATAGCAACACAATAAAGGGCCAGGGAAGCCTGTTTGTGGACGTGCTAAGACATGAATGCAGTGCAGGGGTAAAAGAGATTTCTGGGTTCACATCTAAATAGTGTGTCACTGCCACCTGCTATACAGGAGCAGGCAGATGGGGCTGTGGGTTAATACCTTGTTGTAAATGCACAGCAACAGCTGTAAAGTAGCACTCCCCCAGCACTGCATTGAAGAGGCAGGTTAAAACCTGCGCTCAACTCTGAAGGGAGGCCTGAAGATATATTGCTTTGACCATGTACTCTTTTATCAGCAACACCTCAAAGATGAATCCCAGGCATAATCCTGCAGATACTGGGAAACGCCAGCCTGATGTTTATAGAAATCTTAACTTCACAGTAACCTTGACACTGAGAGTCCCAGATTTATAAAGCAGATGGAGGACAAACACTCTCATGTGGGTCTGTCCACTGACAATCCCTTACTCACCTCTCGTCACAGCCTCTTTAACAAACATTGTGTCAGCTTTACAGATGAACAGTTTGGCTGTGGGAGAGAAAAAAATACAATGTGAGGAAGAAGAAGCAATCAAAGAAATCAGCTGCTAGGTCCCTCCCTATCTCCATCACCTCCTCCAGCCCCTACACCCCTCCCTATCTCTGTAATCTCCTCCAGCCCCTACACCCCTCCCTATCTCTGTAATCTCCTCCAGACCCTGCACCCCCTCCCTATCTCTGTAATCTCCTCCAGCCCCTACACCCCCTCCCTATCTCTGTCACCTCCTTCAACCCCTACACCCCCTCCCTATCTCTGTAACCTCCTCCAGTCCCTACACTCCTCCCTATCTCTGTTATCCTTCCAGGCCCTATACCCCTCCCTATCTCTGTAACCCCCTCCAACTGCCACACCCCTCCCTATCTCTGTTAACCCCTCCAGCCCCTACATCCCCTCCCTATCTCTGTAACCTCTTCCAGCCCCTACACCACTCCCTATCTCTGTAACCTCCTCCAACCCCCTACACCCCCTCCCTATCTCTGTAACCTCCTCCAACCCTCTGTGATCTCTCTCCTCTTGTAATGCCGGGTCTGGTAAGTGTCACTCAAATCCCATTGCTTCACGGTTGGTCGCCTGGGCCTTCGAGCTCTGGAATTCTCTCCCTTCTCCACTCCTCTTTGTTGGAGTCAGGAAAGTGGGCTGAAGCTCACGTAACATCAGCTTTGAGTTTATTGAATCGTGGAACAGGTCAGAAGGGTTAACTCATTAATTTGTCCCAATGTCCACACTTACTTGAAGCTGGTCCTTAAAATATGCTCCCCTTTTTGAATGCGCATTGCCCAATGGCAAAGTTTAACACTATTCCTGAGAAAGACTTTGGGACATTTCACAACGTTAAAGATGACACAGAAATGCAAGATGTTGTTGTGTTTCTTGCATCATGAAGTGAAATAAGATGCATTTGGAGAGAGTACGGGAATGGCATCTTTTAAATTTCGAGCAGAAACAGAAATTGCTGGAGAGATGTAGCAAGTCTGGGCAGCATCTGTGTCGAGAGAAAGCAGAGTTAACGTTTTGAGTCCAGTGATGCCTCTTCAGAACTGTTAGTAGCTGGGAAAGAAATGGTATTTACTTTGGCTTCAGTTTCAATAGCACTTTTTCCTAGTTATTAACAGATCTGAGAGAGAGATTAATTGGACCCGAAACATTGATTCTGAGTTTCTCTTGCAGTTCCTGTTTTTGTTTCATTTCTCCAGCATCCGCAGTTCTTTCTTTTAGTTTAAAGTCGGAAGTTAGCCACTGTCCCATCTCCTTCCTTCCTGGATGTGGCAATACGAGCACATTTATTATGGAATGATTTGTTCTCCTTGTGGAAATACTGATGTGGGGCCAAGGTTAGCACAGGAGTTGAAAACAGTGCAGTGCTACAACAGTGGAGCAAATGGTTTTTTTTTCCCAGACCTTAATGGTTAGCTGTAAACTTGTATAAATGAACCGGAAAATCTGTACCAACCTGAACCATTTACACACCAGCTAACTGAGAGGCTAGGGAATCATACAGCATGGAAACAGACCCTTCAGTCCAACCAGTCCATGCCAACTATATTCCCAAATTAAACTAGTGCCACCTTCCTGCACTTGGCCCATATCCCAAACCTTTCCTATTCATCAACTTATCCAAATGTCTTTTAAACATTGTAACTGTACCTATATCCACCACTTCCTCTGGCATTTCACTCCACACAGGAACCAATGTTGGTGTAAAAAAGTTGCCCCTCATGTCCTTTTAAAATCTTTCTCCTTTCACTTTAAAAAGTGTCCCCTAGAACTCCCCCACCCTAGGGAAAAGACCCTTGTCATTCACCTTATCTACACCACTCAATTATTTTATAAACCTCAATCAGGTCACCCATCAACATTCTACGGTCCAGTAAAAAATATCCCCAGTCTATTTTTATAATTCGAACCCTCCACTCCCAGCAACATCCTAGTAAATCTTTTCTGAGAGGTCTCCAGCTTGATAATATCCTTCCTATAGCAGGGTGACCAAAACTGGACACAGTCCTCCAGAGAACAGGTTGAGTTTGGAACAAGAGTAATCACTCATTCTGTGGCCTGATTCTGAAGGAGGCTGTTTGGTCCATCCTGTCCAGCCTAGCTTCCCGAAAGACCGATTCACCTAATCCCACTCACTGCCTTCTTCCTGTAATCCAGCATGTTCTCCCATTTCAGATGATCATTCAATTCCCTTTTTGAAATCATCAGTTGGACCAGCCTCCATCACACTGTCAGGCCACACGTTCCAGATCCTAACACCCACTCGCCATGTGAAAAAGTCTTTTCTTGAGTCTCACTAATTACTTTAAATCTGCAACCCCTCCTTCTCGATCCACAGGGACAGTTTCTCACTCTCTGCTCTGCCCAGGTCATTGTGGCTTAGAACATCTGGATCAAATTTCCTCTCAACTTTCTCTTCTCCAGGCAGAACTGACCCAGGTCCTCCAACCTATCCACATAGGTTAATGCTGAGAGGATGTTTCTCCTCATGGGAGAGTCTAGGACCAGTGGGCACAGTCTCAGAATAAAGGGGTGCCAATGTTTTAGCGGAGATCAGTAGCTTGGGTTGTGGTTGGAGTTGTTGGTTGGTTTGTCGAGCTGACTGGATTTCATGCAAACGTTTCATCTCCCTTCTAATTGACATCTTCAGTGCTGTTTCGTCTCAGCTGAAGCGCTGTTGTTCTGTTCTGTTCTGAATTTATATCATCTGGTCTGTCATGGTGGGTAGTTCTGATTCTGGTTTTGCCCCATAGTGGTATGTAGCTGGGGTGCCAATTTAAGACTGAGATGAGGAGCAATTTCATCTCTCAGAGGGTTGTGAGTCTTTGGAACTACTTGCCACAGAGAGCTGTAGGGGCAGAGTCCCTGTGTATATTTAAGGCTGAGATAGATAGATACTTGATCATTCGGGGAATCAGGGGAAAGGGCAGGAAAGTGGAAGTGAGGAATGTTGGGTCAGTCAGGATCTTATTGAAAGGCTGAATGGCCTACTTCTGTTTCCATTTCTTATGGATTTCCAGTGTCACTCCTCCTGAAGATACAGGGTTGATGCATTTAGCCTTTGCTCTGTGTCAATGGTTGGCTCAGTGGTTAGCACTGCTGCCTCACAGCACCAGGGACCCAGGTTCGATTCCACCCTCTGCTGACTGTCTGTGTGGAGTTTATACATTCTCCCCATGTCTGTGTGGGTTTCCTCCCACGGTCCAAAGGCGGATTGGCTGTGCTCAATTACCCATAGAGTTCGGGGATGTGTAGTTTAGGTGTGTTAGCCATGGGAAATGCAGGGAGGGGTCTGGGTGGGATGCTCTTCAGAGGGTTGGTGTAGACTTGTTGGGCTGATTGGCCTGCATCTACACTGTGGGGATTCTATAAAGAATACGTGACTAGAAAAATAACCATTGGTGTCTCTCCCTGAGAAAGTACCTACCTGATATTCGGATATCCTCTCTCTCATTAGGGTCAATCCTCTCTGTGGGCTGAATAAGATTACAGACAAGGTGTTTGGGTAACCCCTGGTAGAATTGGTCAGGAGAAAGACAGAGGAGATAAAAAAAGAAGCAGTGTTAATAATTGAACCGATGGTAAACAGAATAAGCCAAATAAATAAAGAAATCTAAAAGTTTCAGCCTTTGAACTCCTATCTTCCCATTACTGGAAGTTAGTGAGATAAGAAAGACAGGAAACAAAGCTTTGGAATAAACAGAGATAACAAGGTTCGGGCCTAGACCCTTCTTCAGAAACGTCAGCCTTCCTGCTCCTATGATGCTGCTTGGCCTGCTGTGTTCATCCAGCTCTACACCTTGTTATCTCAGATTCTCCAGCATCGGCAGTTCCTACTATCTCTGGAATAAACAGGCCTTTTTGTGAGTGGCAGGCTGCGAATAGTATGGTACTGGTTGGTTGGATACAGCAAGAATGGCAGATGCTGGATTGTCAGAGTCGATACCGTATGGGGCTGGAGGAACACAGCAGGTCAGGCAGCATCTCTGATGCAGGAAAGTCGACTTTTCGGGTTGGAACCCTTCATCAGGAATGGGGAGTGGGAAGGGAGCTCAGAAATAAATAGAGGGAGGGGTATGGGGCTGGGGGAAGGTAGGTGGGGTGGTAATAGGTGGATGCAGGTAGGGGGTTGTGGAGGTTGGTCAATGGGGAGGGTGGGGCGGATACGTGAGAAGGAAGATGGACAGGTTGTGTAGGTCAAGGAGGCGGAGATGAGAGGGAGGGCTGGACATGTGATGAGGCCGGGGTGGAGAGATTTTGAAGCTGGTGAATTCTATGTTGAGGCCATTGGGCTGTAAGCTCCTGAGGCAGAATATATGGCGTTGTTCCTCCAATTTTCGTGCAGCCTCATTGTGACATTGGAGGAGGCCCAGGATGGAAATGTCACTAAGTGAGTGGGAGGGGTTGAAATGGCTGGCAACAGGAAGGTGGTGTTGTTTGGAACATAGATGGTCCACAAATGGGTCACCGAGTCTGCGCTCTGGAGACCACATCGGGAGCAATGGAGGCAGAAGACCAGGTTGGAGGATGTACAGGTGAATCCCTGTCAGATACAGAATAATTGTTTGGGGCCTTGGACGGAGATGAAGGGCAGAAGGAAGACTGGATTGTGATGGCAGAGTGTGGGTTCAGTTCCCGCATAGGCTGAGATTACCGTGAGGGTCCTGGCTTCTCTACCTCACCCTCTTCCCAAGAGTGTGGTGAACCCCTAGACTAAACAATTGCTCCTCTCCAATGAGGGAATGGGACTATGGTGACTTTAGCGCAGGGCCCAGTGCTCAGATGCCAGCTATTCACCGGGTTTATTGGTGATTGAGATGAGGGAGCCAAAGAAAGTACCTCTGAGTTTGCAGACAACATTAGGCTGGGTGGGACAGTGAGCTGTGGGGTCGGTCTGACCTTAGTTTAGAGATAAAAATGTACACGAGAAACAGTCAATGACGCGGAAGGGGGTGTGTACGAGCAACAGGAGTGAAAGCCAAATACCGCGGGTGCTGGAAACATGCCTCTGGTCATTTACAAAGTCTCAGCCAATTAAAGGCCAGGGAGCAAGTCCACCATCCAATCAGGGATGTTATGTAACAAGCCTGTTATGCCAAACAATATGATCATGGTTGATCATCCAACTCAGTTCCCAGTTCGTGCTTTCTCCCTTTGATCCCTTTAGCCCCAGGAAGGATATCTAACTCCTTCTTGAAAACATTCAATATTTTGGCCTCAACCAGTTTCTGTGGCAGAGAATTCCACAGGTTCCCCGCCCTCTGGGTGAAGACATTTCTCCGAATCTCAGCCCTAAATGGCCTACACCTTCTCCTTAGACTGTGACTCCCTGGTTCTGGTCTCTCTGGTCATCGGGAACATCCTTCCTGTGTTTTACCCTGTTTATTTCCAGTTGGAATTTTACAGGTTTCTACAAGATTCCACACTGCCCCCAGTCTTCTGATCTACAGTGAATATAATCCGAACTGATCCAGTCTATTTTCATCTGTCAGTCCTGCCATCCCAGGAATCAGTCTGAGAAACCTTCGCTGCACTCCCTCCACAGCCAGAGCGTCCTTCCGCAGATAGGGAGATCCAAGTGATGACGAACTCTTAAGGTACAAGGCCAAAATGAGTAGTGATGGGAAAAGCAAGGGGGAAAAGGTTATTAGTATGGCGCACTGACCTCTACATCGCCGAGGCCGGACGCCAACTCTCCGACACCTCCTCCTACCGCCCCCTTGATCATGACCCCACCCCTGAGCACCAAACCATCATCTCGCAAACCATCCACAACCTCATCACCTCAGGTGACCTCCCACCCACGGCCTCCAACCTCATCGTCCCCCAACCTCGCACTGCCCGCTTCTATCTCCTTCCCAAAATCCACAAACCTGAATGCCCTGGTCGACCCATTGTCTCCGCCTGCTCCTGCCCCACCGAACTGATCTCCAACTATCTAGACTCCATTTTCTCCCCCTTGGTCCAGGAACTCCCTACCTATGTCCGTGACACCACCCACGCCCTTCACCTCCTCCAGAACTTCCAATTCCCCGGTCCCCAACACCTCATCTTTACCATGGACGTCCAGTCCCTCTACACCTGCATTCCCCATGCAGATGGCCTCAAGGCCCTCCGCTTCTTCCTGTCCCGCAGGCCCGACCAGTCCCCCTCCACTGATACCCTCATCCGCTTACCCGAACTCGTCCTAACACTCAACAACTTCTCTTTCAATTCCTCCCACTTCCTACAGACAAAGGGGGTAGCCATGGGTACCCGCATGGGCCCAAGCTACGCCTGCCTCTTTGTAGGTTACGTGGAACAATCCCTCTTCCGTACCTACACCGGCCCTAAACCCCACCTCTTCCTCCGTTACATTGATGACTGTATCGGCGCTGCCTCGTGCTCCCACGAGGAGCTCGAACAGTTCATACACTTCACTAACACCTTCCACCCCAACCTTAAGTTTACCTGGACCATCTCTAACACCTCTCTCCCCTTCCTGGACCTCTCTGTCTCCATATCGGGCAACCACCTAGAAACCGATATTCATTTCAAGCCCACCGACTCCCACGGCTACCTAGAATACTCCTCCTCCCACCCACCTTCCTGCAAAAATGCTATCCCCTATTCCCAATTCCTTCGCCTCCGCCGCATCTGCTCCCAGGATGAGGCATTCCACTCCCGTACATCTCAGTTGTCCTCGTTTTTCAAGGACCGTAACTTCCCCTCCTCGGTGGTCGAGAACGCCCTCAACCGTGTCTCCCACATCTCCCGCACCTCATCCCTCACACCCCGTCCACGCAATAAAAACCAAAAAAGAATCCCCCTCGTCCTCACGTACCACCCCACCAACCTCCGGATCCAACGCATCATCCTCCGACACTTCCGCCATCTGCAATCCGACCCCACCACCAAAGACATCTTTCCCTCCCCACCCTTATCTGCTTTCCGGAGGGACAACTCTCTCCGTGACTCCCTTGTCCGCTCCACACTCCCCTCCAGCTCCACCACACCCGGCACTTTTCCCTGCAACCGCAGGAAGTGCTACACCTGCCCCCATACCTCCTCCTTCACCCCCATCCCAGGCCCCAAGAAGACTTTCCACATCAAGCAGATGTTCACCTGCAGATCTGCCAATGTGGTATACTGCATCCGCTGTACCCGGTGTGGCTTCCTCTACATCGGGGAAACCAAGCGGAGACTCGGGGACCGCTTTGCAGAACACCTACGCTCGGTTCGCAACAAACAACTGCACCTCCCAGTCGCGAACCATTTCAACTCCCCCTCCCATTCCTCAGACGACATGTCCATCCTGGGCCTCCTGCAGTGCCACAACGATGCCACCCGAAGGTTGCAGGAACAGCAACTCATATTCCGCTTGGGAACCCTGCAGCCCAATGGTATCAATGTGGATTTCACAAGTTTCAAAATCTCCCCTCCCCCTACCGCATCCCAAAACCAGTCCAGCTCGTCCCTGCCTCCCTAACCTGTTCTTCCTCCCACCTATCCCCTCCTCCCACCTCAAGCCGCACCTCCATCTCCTACCGACCAACCTCATCCCGCCCCCTTGACCTGTCCGTCCTCCCTGGACTGACCTATCCCCTTCCTAACTCCCTACCTACACTCACCTTTCCTGGCTCCATCCCCGCCTCTTCGACCTGTTTGTTTCCTCTCCACCTATCCTCTCCTCTATCCCTCTTCTATCCGCCTCCCACTCTCTCCCTATTTATTTCAAAACCCCCTTCCCCTCCCCCTTTTCTGATGAAGGGTCTAGGCCCGAAACGTCAGTCTCTCTGCTCCTATGATGCTGCTTGGCCTGCTGTGTTCATCCAGCCCTGCACCTTGTTGTGTCGGGGAAAAGGTTATGTCTGGATGAGGTGTGAATGGCAGGATCCTGACTAGCTGCTAAGTGAACAAAGAATAAAGGAAATTAAAGACCAAAGGCAGTTAGGGATGAATGTTGGCCTTGCCAAGGATGAACCATCCTAATGAGGACCAATAAACAATAGGCAATGAGACTAAAGTGGAGATAGTGATTATGGTGCTGTAAAGTGCTGGGGTGCAGCGGTTTCTGGTGAGTTTACATTGATCTTCATTGGAACACAGCACCAGAACAGGTCACTGTAGTACTGAGAGGACCCTGAGACATACAGCAGCCAAAAGTGAAGACTTACCCGGCCTTCCGTTTGATCAGAATTGAACTTTGAACCCCACTCAAACAAAGCAGCTTTGAGGCAATCCAGAGCCTGGAAAGAAATCAGAGGGGTTTGATAGCAACGGGTTTTTATTAAATTGAAAGGTGGAAGAGGTGGGTCAGTGGAGTAACGCATCAACTTGCATTTATATAGCGTGTTTAATGTCCCAGGAGCCATTGTCATGCACAATTGGTTGTGGATACCCTTAGCAAATTATGGGGACATGTAATCAGAATCTTGGTCCAAAGTGCAGGAGCACATTTAAGTGGGAGAAAGAGATAGAGTGAATTAGGAAGTGGAGTCCTGATCTCTGATCAATAACATAAGCCCGGTATGATAGACTGAGGGATATAATTCCATGATGAGCTTTGGACCATTCTGCTAATCTTGGTTCCATCTCACTGTGTGTCAACGTGCCATTCAACAGCACTAATCTCTTAAAGTATAATGACACACTCAGCGCACAGGAGGATCCCGCGGCACAATGGTAGTGTCCCTACCTCAGAGCCAGGAGGCCAGGATACAAGTCCCGCCTGCGGTGTGTAATAACGTCACTGAGCAGATGGATTAGGATATATCTATGCTGCACACACAGACATTTATTGATTTTGTTTTCCCTGAAGGAGACTTGCCTTCTTCTCTCATTCAGTATTCTGGTCAAAAACAGGTTTGACATTTTGTAAGGGTCTAGGCCCGAAACATCAGCTTTCCCGCTCCCCTGATGCTGCTTGGCCTGCTGAGTTCATCCAGCTCTACACCTTGTTATCCCAGATTCTCCAGCATCGGCAGTTCCTACTATCTTTGACATTTTGTAACGTCCCCACACAGGGCAAGGGTCTGAATCCACTGCAGCTAGAACCCTGTGATCTACACGGACCCACTAGCCATAGAAATGATACAGCACAGAAGGGGGCCATTTGCCCCATCTTGTCCATGCCGACCCAACCACCTGACCCTCCAGGACATCCCAGCAGGTGAGGCATTCATCTTTCAATCTGGTGACAGGGAGAGCGATGGTAGAAGCTCTTTGATGTGACTAGGAATCTCTGCCACTCTTGCTGACCGCCGTTAACATGCGTTGGACAGAAATAACAAGCTGACCCTCCCCTTTGGCCAATGATATGAACACATTTGTTCTTGACCAAGGTGGAGCTTGAACTGGGAAGCTGCCGGCTTACAAAGCAAGGACACTGCCCACTGTCTCTCACTGGGGAAGCTTACTCAACTGGGGTATGGGTGAGAATGCCCTACCTCTGACCGGGTTTAAGATGCTGAACTTATTTTTTTACCCCCTGTCTAAGAATTGGCAGGTGTGTCTGCGTTCAGTTGTGGAAGGAAACTCTCAGGATGACAAGGTACCTGTCCACACTTGTTCACATACTGAAGATTAGACTTGTGGATTTACAGGACCAAACAAGCAACTGAAGAAAGGGGCCCCATTTTATTGGCAGTAGTTCAAGGTCCTGACTACCTTCTTGCTTCTAAATCAACACAGCATCTTCAATATTCGCCCATCCTTTTCCAGAACATGGGGCGTGCGTTTCCCTGGAAAGCTCAGAACTTATCGTCAATCTTTTCTGATTGAGTGCTTTGCAAGGCCACTCTTAAAAATTCATTCCTGGGATATGAGCTGCACTGGATGGGTCGGCATTTATTGTCCATCCCTAATTACCCCTTGAGAAAGTAGTGCTGAGCTAATTTCTTCACCAACTGTAGCCCTTGGGGTGGTGAGCACCCACCATGCCCTTAGGGAGGGAGTTCCAGGATTTTGACCCAGACACACTGAAGGAACAGCGATATATTTCCAAGTCAGGATGGTGAGTGGCTTAGAGGGGAACTTGCAGGGTGTGGTGTTCCCATGTATCTGCTATCCTTGTCCTTCTGAATGGTAGAGGTAGGTGGGATTTGGAACATCTAAACAGCCCTGGTGAAATATGAAATAACTCTACACAGGCTGGTATCCCATTACCCATTCACCCTTTATTTACATATGAACAGTTCTTGACTACAGTACTGCCACATACAGAGTGTCAATATCCCTGATCCTCAACCTTTTTAAATCAGCCAGAGCTCCCTGATAGGACCAGGTTAACCGCTCCAATCAGGGAGCTCATATTCTACGAGGTCCAGCTGGCTAAGCCTCATTACAAACACTACAAAGTACTTTGAGGGTCATGTCCAACCAACCACATTGGTGTGGAGTAACATCTAGTCCAGACCAGGCACGGATTGCACATTTCTATGTTAGTACAAATTAATAAGCATATCTTTTCCACAACAATCTGGGAGCCTCATGCTCACTTTTAATAGAAAACATGTTTATCTTCTACATTCATTTCAAACTGAGTTAAAATCCTTAACCTACTGCACAGTGGGATTTGAAATTGCATTCTCTTGCCAGTTATTCCAGGATTATACACCCGGCCATTGTAAATGTGTTTTCTCTCTATTGAATTTACTGAATATCTTTACAACATAACGATGTGCTCTGCAATTACCATGCGGTCATCTCTGAAACAGAAACAATGTAATATCAAAGACATAACTAAAACTACCCCTCTAGAAGTTACTGCAATCAACATCTGGTCAAAAATTGCCTTAGTGCCTTAGTCAGTAGCACCTGGAGGCAGAATGGAATTGAACATCCTGAATGTACAAATCTACTCAAGGAAACTTTTGTTCAAATCTAAAGTGGAAAAATTCTCCTAGCTGGGTAATTGTAGCAATAAATACTTGTATTGATTATAGGCCACTGATGTCAATTTTCTATGGTCAGAGATATTGCAAAAGTATCGCTCTTAATGTTTGTCATTTTTGGGTCTTTTGTTGACCCATTTTCTCTCCCATTGTAAATTTGTAAACTCAGTACAGTGTGTAAGTTAGGATGGGACAGTGGTAGTGTGACAATGATGGGGATAAAAGGTTAAAACCCGCCAAAGCCCCAACAGACCACAAGGCTGTTCTCTCATTAGAGAAAACGATTCGTTGGGATGGTTTAACCTGAGGGTCACCACACCTCAGGTGAAGGGAGAGGTTGAGAAGGAAAGTCTTTCATGGTAACCTCAGCCAGTGTGGGAATCGAACCCGTGCTGTCAGTAATCAGCATCGCTACTTTGCAAGCAATTGTCTGAAAGACTGCCCTCGTGGTGCCATGGTAGTGTCCCTTTCTCTGAAACAGAAGGCCAACATTAAAGCCCCAGCTGCTTCAGAGGTGTGTCACAGCGTGATGATGACAAATATCTAAAACACAAGAGTTCAGCTTTTTGCTGTTCTTTCCATTGTGGCTTGTTTATCTCACTCTTTCCCTCAACTCGAGGAGAGTCAAATTTCACATAATGACCTCCCTCCCCTCCCAATCAAAAGCATCAACGACAAAACATCTATATTGATCTGTGTCTCTCACTGTTATCGTCAATGCTGCTCACAATATTGGCTGGAAGTAGATGGTAAATACATCAATGAAGACTCTCACAAATTATTCCTTTGGTCTCCACTACTCCCACACTCATGGGTTCAATACTTCCCAAGTCTCCTCCTGCTATTTTGAGGCTTCGAAACTGTTAGGGAGAGCTTTGGGAGCCATGGTCTGTCAAAGTAAGATCATGGTTGTTTTAACCTGGACTGCCATTATTGCCTTCACCCTCGTGACTCCAACATTATAGCTCGAGAGCCCATTGGGGCTCCCAACACCCCCATTTGCCTCCACTCCCACCCACGTTTCCCATTCCTACCCATCATTCCCACTCTGACCTCTCATCATTCCCACTCGCAAACCCACATACTCCATGCTTCCCACTCCCTCTCCCAGTCCCACCCACCATTTCCACTCCCACCCACTCACAAACCCCCACACTAATCCCATCCACCATTCCCACTCCTACCAACAATAACCACTCTCGACCCAACTCCCCATGCCCTCCCACTCCGACTCCCATCCACTATTCCTACTCCCAACCTCACTCCCACTCCCCTCCCCCAGGTCTCTTGATCCAGAGGTAGGAACACTACTGCTGCGCTACAAGAGCCCTCAAAAAAAACAGCGACATGGAAACACCCTTGCCATAGAGTTGACCAGTGATACAGGTGGTGGACACTCGCTTACTACCACTGGGAGTCATTGACTTGAATGACACAAATACCACCCAGGTGGATAGAGTTGTTAAGAAGGCGTATGGTGTGTTAGCTTTCATTAATAGAGGGATTGAGTTCAAGAGCCGTGAAGTTATGCTCCAGCTATACAAAACCCTGGTTCGGCCACATCTGGAGTATTGTGTCCGTTCTGGTCGCCTCATTACAGGAAAGATGTGGATGCGTTGGAAAAGGTGCAGAAGAGATTTACCAGGATGTTGCCTGGAATGGAGGGAAGGTCTTAGGAGGAAAAGTTGAGACAGCTAGGGCTTTTCTCTTTAGAATGACAAAGGATGAGAGGTGACTTGATAGAGGTGTACAAAATGATCAGAGGTATAGATAGAGTGGACAGCCAGAGACTTTGCCTAGGGTGGAGGTAGCTATTACGAGGGGGCATAGTTTTAAAGTGAGTGGAGGTAGATATAGGGGAGATGTCAGAGGTAGGTTCTTTACTCAGAGAGTGGTAGGGGCGTGGAACGCATTGCCAGAGAGGGTAATGGAGTCGGCCTCATTAGGGGCATTTAAGCGGCTATTAGATAGGCATATGGATGATAGTATAAGGTAGGGGTGGAAGTTAGATAGACCTTAGGTTTAGGGTAAAAGTTCGGCACAACATCATGGGCCGAAGGGCCTGTACTGTGCCGTACTGTTCTATGTTCTATGTTCTATACGTTTTAGGGCAATCCAGGACATGTAGGAGAAAGGACGCTCTGATAAGGTTCGATAAAAGAGGCTTGTGTGGATCATAATGTGGATCAAATCCAGTTGGCTCAACTGGTCCACATTGATTTATATCAATGCTACAGTGTCCTTGAAAAGAGGGCAGTTTTGGAATACAATGGTGCTTTCACCCACTTTTGGTTTATTCAATCACGGGGTGACAGCGTCGCTGGCTAGACCAGCATTTCATAGAATCATAGAATCCCTACAGTGTGGAAACAGGCCCTTCGGCCCAACAAGTCCATACCAACCCTCAGAGCATCCCACCCAGACCCATCTCCCTTTAACCCACCTAATCTACACATCCCTGAACACTACGGGCAATTTAGCATGGCCAATCCACCTAACCTGCACATCTTTGGATGGTGGGAGGAAACTGGAGCACCCAGAGGAAACCCACGCAGACACGGGGAGAATGTGCAAATTCTACACAGACACCCGAGGCTGAAATCGAACCCGCTGTGAGGCAGCAGTGCTAACCACTGAGCGGCCACAAAAAATTTATTGCCCATCCCTAATTGCGCAGAAGGCAGTTAAGAGTCAGCCACATTGCTGCTCACAAAGGGGAAGCCTTTCAAGAAAGAATTTGCATTTATGTAGGCCAGACCAGGTAAGGATGGCAGTTTCCTTCCCTAAATGACATTAGTAAACCGGTTGCATTTTTCCTGATAACTGAGAATGGATTCACAGTTGTCATTAGATCTATAAATTGAGATGTTTTCTTCATTGAATTCAGATTCCACTAAGTGCCATGGCAGATTTTGAACTGGTCCCCAGAACATTGCCTGGGCCTCTGGATTAACAGTCCAGTAATAATACCAGTAGGCCATTGTCTCCCCTCAATTCATTTACACCCTTCTCGAACATTAGCCAGAAGAGTTGACACAGATAAATACACAGAGACAAGGCGTAGAACTGGATGAACACAGCAGGCCAAGCAGCATCATAGGAGCAGGAAGGCTGACGTTTCAGGCCTAGACCCTTCTTCAGAAATGGGGGAGGGGAAGGGGGTTCTGAAATAAATAGGGAGAGAGGTGGAGGCGGATAGAAGATGGATAGAGGAGAAGATAGGTGGAGAGGAGACAGACAGGTCAGAGAGGTGGGGATGGAGCCAGTAAAGATGAGTGTAGGTGGGGAGTTAGGGAGGAGACAGGTCAGTCCAGGGAGGATGGACAGGTCAAGGGGGCAGGATGAGGCTAGTAGGTAGGAAATGGGGGTGGGGCTTGGGGTGGGAGGAGGGGATAGGTGGGAGGAAGGACAAGTTAGGGAGGCGGGGACGAGCTGGGCTGGTTTTGGGATGCGGTAGGGGGAGGGGAGATTTTGAAGCTTGTGAAATCAACATTTATACCATTGGGCTGCAGGGTTCCCAAGCGGAATATGAATTGCTGTTCCTGCAACCTTCGGGTGGCATTGTTGTGGCACTGCAGGAGGCCCAGGATGGACATGTCGTCTGAGGAATGGGAGGGGGAGTTGAAATGGTTTGCGACTGGGAGGTGCAGTTGTTTAGTGCGAACCGAGCGTAGGTGTTCTGCAAAGCGGTCCCCAAGCCTCCGCTTGGTTTCCCCGATGTAGAGGAGGCCACAACGGGAACAGCGGATGCAGTATACCACATTAGCAGATGTGCAGGTAAACATCTGCTTGATGTGGAAAGTCTTCTTGGGGCCTGGGATGGGGGTGAGGGAGGAGGTATGGGGGCATGTGTAGCACTTCCTGCGGTTGCAGGGAAAAGTGCCAGGTGTGGTGGGGCTGGAGGGGAGTCTGGAGCGAACAAAGGAGTCATGGAGAGAGTGGTCCCTCCGGAAAGCAGATAAGGGTGGGGACGGAAAAATGTCTTTGGTGGTGGAGTCAGATTGCAGATGGCAGAAGTGTCAGAGGATGATGCGTTGGATCCGGAGGTTGGTGGGGTGGTATGTGAGGACGAGGGGGATTCTTTTTTGGTTCTTATTGCGTGGACGGGGTGTGAGGGATAAGTTGCGGGAAATGTGGGAGACACGGTTGAGGGCATTCTCGACCACTGACAGGGGGAAGTTGCGGTCCTTGAAAAACGAGGACATCTGAGATGTACAGGAGTGGAATGCCTTATCCTGGGAGCAGATGCGATGGAGGCGAAGGAATTGGGAATAGTGGATGGCATTTTTGCAGGAAGGTGGATGGGAGGAGGAGTATTCTAGGTAGCTGTGGGAGTAGGTGGGCTTGAAATGGATATCGGTTTCTAGGTGGTTGCCCGATATGGAGACAGAGAGGTCCAGGAAGGAGAGAGAGGTATTAGAGATGGTCCAGGTGAACTTAAGGTTGGGGTGGAAGGTGTTGGTGAAGTGGATGAACTGTTCGAGCTCCTCGTGGGAGCACGAGGCGGCGCCGATACAGTCATCAATGTAACGGAGGAAGAGGTGGGGTCTAGGGCCAGTGTAGGTACGGAAGAGGGATTGTTCCACGTAACCTACAGAGAGGCAGGCATAGCTTGGGCCCATGTGGGTACCCATGGCTACCCCCTTTGTCTGTAGGAAGTGGGAGGAATTGAAAGAGAAGTTGTTGAGGGTGAGGACGAGTTCAGCTAAGCGGATGAGGGTATCAGTGGAGGGGGACTGGTCGGGCCTGTGAGACAGGAAGAAGCGGAGGGCCTTAAGGCCATCTGCATGGGGAATGCAGGTGTCGAGGGACTGGACGTCCATGGTAAAGATGAGGTGTTGGGGACTGGAGAATTGGAAGTTCTGGAGGAGGTGGAGGGTGTGGGTGGTGTCACGGACGTAGGTGGGGAGTTCCTGGACCAAGGGGGAGAAAATGGAGTCCAGATAGTTGGAGATAAGTTCGGTGGGGCTGGAGCAGGCGGAGACAATGGGTCCACCAGGGCATTCAGGTTTGTGGATTTTGGGAAGGAGATAGAAGCGGGCGGTGTGGGGTTGGGGAACGATGAGGTTAGAGGCCGTGGGTGGGAGGTCACCTGAGGTGATGAGGTTGTGGATGGTTTGGGAGATGATGGTTTCGTGCTCGGGAGGGACCACTCTCTCCATGACTCCCTTGTGCGCTCCACACTCCCCTCCAGCCCCACCACACCCGGCACTTTTCCCTGCAACCGCAGGAAGTTCTCCACCTGCCCCTACACCTCCCCCCTCACCCCCAACCCAGGCCCCAAGAAGACTTTCCACATCAAGCAGATGTTCACCTGCACATCTGCTAATGTGGTATACTGCATCCGCTGTACCCGTTGTGGCCTCCTCTACATCGGGGAAACCAAGCGGAGGCTTGGGGATCGCTTTGCAGAACACCTACACTCGGTTCGCAATAAACAACTGCACCTCCCAGTCGCAAACCATTTCAACTCTCCCTCCCACCCCTCAAACGACATGTCCATCCTGGGCCTCCTGCAGTGCCACAATGATGCCACCCGAAGGTTGCAGGAACAGCAACTCATATTCCGCTTGGGAACCCTGCAGCCCAATGGTATAAATGTTGATTTCACAAGCTTCAAAATCTCCCCTCCTCCTACCGCATCCCAAAACCAGCCCAGCTCGTCCCCGCCTCCCTAACCTGTCCTTCCTCCCACCTATCCCCTCCTCCCACCTCAAGCCCCACTCCCATCTCCTACCTACTAACCTCATCCCGCCCCCTTGACCTGTCCGTCCTCCCTGGACTGACCTATCTCCTCCCTACCTCCCCACCTACACTCACCTTTACTGGCTCCATCCCCGCCTCTCTGACCTGTCTGTCTCCTCTCCACCTATCTTCTCCTCTATCCATCTTCTATCCGCCTCCCCCTCTCTCCCTATTTATTTCAGGACCCCTTCCCCTCCCCCATTTTTGAAGAAGGGTCTAGGCCTGAAATATCAGCCTTCCTGCTCCTATGATGCTGCTTGGCCTGCTGTGTTCATTCAGCTTTACGCCCTGTTGTCTCGGATTCTCCAGCATCTGCAGTTCCTACTATCTCTATCACAGATAAATACACTACCTCTTGAGCCGTTGATATTGGACGTTTCTTCATTGATCCACACCATCTCACCGCATTACCTATGTATACGCTAATGGTTTTCACCTCCTTGAGATTAAAGATTTCCCTCTTCAGTTCAGTCATGTTTGCCGGCAAGGTATGCTTTCGGAAAGTCTTGGAGTTGTGGGTTCTTATCTGAGTGAATTCAGCTGTGTTGACTCAAACAGAGTTCCTCAAACACTAACTGAGTCACCAGTAATTCTTCTACACTAATTGGTTTGTAAACAGGGAATTCCTGCCCTCAGACGTCACTAAGACACACCCAATGAGGAGAAATACGAAACAAGAGCCAGTCAGAAGAAAGCACTTAGTTTAAGGATTGAACAGTCAGCTCCAGTGGGTAGGGTTCGCATTTTTGGCACTCAGTCAAAGAACTAAAAGTGCAACTGATCGCCAACATTATTGTGGGTGGGAGATCTGTCTGTTGAAACTGGGTGCTCACTCAGTACTGGGCTCCTAGTGAATGAGCTAACCGTGACGGCGCAGAATTCCTGCCTTTTCATCTGCGGCTGGAGAAGTGCTGAGTCACTGTTATTGTCATGGGTCAATGAACTAGCCATGACAGTGCAGAATCGCTGCCTTTTCATCCACGGCCAGAGAAGTGTTGAGTCACTGTTAGTGTTACGGGTCAATGAACTAGCCATGACAGTGCAGAATCGCTGCCTTTTCATCCGCGGCCAGAGAAGTGCAGAGTCACTGTTAGTGTTATGGGTCAATGAACTAGCTATGAAGGTGCGGAATCGCTGCCTTTTCATCCACGGCCGGAGAAGTGCTGAGTCACTGCATTTCCCATGACTAACCCACTCACCCAGTCTGTGCATCCCTGTACACTATGGGCAATTTAGCATGGCCAATCCACTCTAACCTGCACATCTTTGGACTGTGGGAGGAAACCCATGCAGACACGGGGAGAATATGCAAACTCCACACAGACAGTCGCCCGAGGGTGGAACTGAACCTGAGCAGTGGCTCAGTGCAGAATGTGATGGCAGCCAGTGACCAGGCCCTGTGAAGACCTACTGTGTTGGTCTGTTGGATACAGACTCTGATGTTTATCTTTTTCACTTTGCTTTTTTCTTCTGACCTATGGTTATACCGTGTATAGCTGTAATGTAACTTTTTTTTTCTTCATTTCTCCATTCTGTGAGTGAGGATTGTACCTATGTACCTCTGTACCTAAGATGGTGGCATTAGTGGCAATTTATAAACATTTTGCAGTACTCATTTGCGTCAGTGACAATAAAGCTAATTCAATCCATTCCACATACAAACCACTCTCTGTCAAAAAATTGCCTCTCATGTCCTTTTTAAATCTTTCTCCCCTCACCTTAAAAATATGCCCCCCTAGTTTTGAACTCCCCCAACCTAGGGAAAAGACCCTTGTCATTCATTTTATCTATACTCCACATGATCTTATAAACCTCAATAAGGTCACCCCTCAACTTCCTATGCTCCAGGGAAAAAGTGTCCCAACCTTTCCAGTCTATTTTTATATCTCAAACTCTCCATTCCCAGCAAATTCCTGGTAAATCTTTTCTGAACCCTGTTCCAGTTTAATAATAGCCTTCCTATAATAGGACGACCAGAACTGGACACAGAACTCTGGAGGATGCATCACCAATGTCTTGTACAACCTCAACATGACGTCCCAACTCCTAAACTCAAAGGTCTGAGCAATGAAGGCAAGCGTACTAAACACCTTCTTAACCACCCTGTCTACCTGTGATGCAAATTTCAAAGAATTATGCACCTGAACACCTAGGTCTCTCTGTTCTACAACACTACCCAGGGCCCTGCCATTAATTGTATAAATCCTGTCGTTGTTTGTATTACCAAAATAAAATACCTCGCAATTATCCAAATTAGACTCCATCAGTTTAAAGGCCATTGTTTCTGAAAGATGGAACTTCCAACAGTGCAGCGCTCCCTTGATATGGCACAGAGCGTCAGCTACCAGCTGGGTACCTAAGTTCTGCAACTCAGTCCCACCTCTTTCTGTTAAAGGCGCTACGTCAACGCACGTTATTGTTGTCAGCTATTAAGCCAGTAGGACGATCCTGCATGTGACAAAGGCCTCAAAAGCTAAGATTAAAAAGTCAAGCGGCCGAAAGATCTAACAGACTAAATATCATGAGCTTTGTGGAAGAAATTACTTGAGCTTTTAGTGGGCGTTAAGAGGCAGCGTTGCGGCTTTTGAGTGCTGGACAGGAGCTGGACGAGGATTTGGATGGATGGTCACAATGGGGAATCCTATCAAGAAAGAACTTGAATTTACATGGCGCCTTTTACAGCCAAGCCTGCAGGGAGAGGTGTGGTCAGTCTCCAAATCCTGTCTTCAAATGATGTCAGGAAAAGCTGCAGGTAGGTGAAAGATTGGAGGGGGACAACAATTTGGGTGACACCAGAAATGATGGAGAAACTGGAGATTGGGGGGTGCGGGGGGAGGGGCATGATTGAGATGTATAAAATTATTAGCAGCATAGACAGGGTAGATAGGAAGGAACTTCTCCCCCAGGTGGAGGGATCAATGACCAGGGGGTATAGATTGAAGGTAAGGGGCAGGAGGTTTAGAGAGAGTGTGAGGAAAACATTTTCCCCCAGAGAGTGGTGGGAATCTGGAACTCACTGCCTGTGAGGGTGGGAGAGGCAGAAACCCTCATCACATTGAAGAAGTATTTAGATGTGGACTTGAGATGCCAGGGTATAGAAGGCCAAGTGCTGGAAATGGGATTAGAATAGTTAGGTGGCTGTTTTTGACTGGTGCGGGCCTAAAGAATCATACAGTACAGAAGAAGACCTTTTGCCCATCAACCCCGTACTGCCAAAGCCACACTACACTAATTCCACTTTCCCACATTAGACCCACCCGGCAATGCCCAGGGTGAAAGTTGGTGCAGACTCTCAGCCTCAGCGTGGATTCGAACTCCAAACCTGAAAGTGGACTCGAACTCCCGGCCTCAGCGTGGACTCGAACTCCCGGCCTCAGCGTGGCCTCGAGCTCCTGGTCTCAGCGTGGACTCGAACTCCCGGCCTCAGCGTGGACTCGAGCTCCCGGCCTCAGCGTGGACTCGAGCTCCCGGCCTCAGCGTGGACTTGAACTCCCGGCCTCAGCGTGGACTCGAACTCTCGGCTTCAGCGTGGACTCGAGCTCCCGGTCTCAGTGTGGACTCGAGCTCCCGGCCTCAGTGTGGACTCGAACTCCCGGCTTCTAGATGAGTCCTGGTGCGGTCTGGGTTGGAAGTCTTGTTATGTTGAACTCTCATTTCTCTGTTTTTCTAATTTATTGCGGGACTTTTTATTTCTTTATGTTTTGATTTTTTTTCCCCTACGAGTTCATACTTAAGAATCTGTACCTATGTTCTTTGGTGCCTAAAGTGGCAGCATAAGTGGCGATGTGTAAATTATTCACTCTACTCAGGTGACTAGGTGTGACAATAAGACTAATTCATTCATTCTCATTTATTTGTTCAAACAAGTGGAACACTTCCAAAGGAACATTTACTCTGCAATTTCTTCCCTAATCCTGTCTATCATCTGCTTCTCTCACTCTCTCTCCCTCCCGCTCTCTCTCTCCCTCTCCCTCTCTCTCCCTCACTCTCTCTCTCTCTTTGTCCCCCTCTCTCTCCCTCTCTCTTTCTCTTTCTCCTTCTCTCTCCCTCTCCCTCTCTCTCTCTCCCTCCATCTCTTTCTCTTTCTCTCCCTCTCCCTCTCTCTCTCTCTTACCCTCTCATCCTCTCTCTCTCTCTCTGTCCCTCTCTCACTCTGCCTCTCTCTCTCCCTCTCCCCTTCTCTCTCACCATCTCATCCTCCATCTCTTCCTCTCTCTCTCTGCCTCTCTCTCTCCCTCTCTCTCTCTCTCTCCCTCCCTCCTGTAAAATTGACTTCTCCACCACCCAGCTTTGGTTGTCCTTACATGGTGTGGTGCCATCTGGATGAGAGAGAGCAGCCAGACTTCAGTGTCCTGCCTACCTGCCACATCCTCTTCATTCAACCCACAGGAATTTCAATACCATGTCATCTGCAAAGGAGAAAATTGTCAATTGCAAGAAACACCATCCCCGCGCCCCCAGGAGTGGAATTTAAGATGGTTTCAGCAACATTGGCGGTCATTATTGCGTCAAAGTGCATCACAGGCATAGTGTCTGGCCAAGGAAGGGGATTGGTAACCAAAAACACCAGCTGGAACGTCAGCTTTAGGATGAAGAAGTAGGAAAGAGGGAATTCCAGAGGTTTTGGTGGCAAGATAGCTGAAACGCAACCAATGGAACAGGCCCTTCGGCCCATCATGTCTATGCCGACTATGATGCCATTCTAAACTAAACCCATCTGCCTGCACATGGTCCATATCCCTCTCTTCCCTGCCTGTTCATGTGTCTGTCTAAACCCCTCTTAAACAGTGATGCAAGTCTGGAAGTGGGGTTGTGCGCAAGGGTTAACAAAAACAGAAGTTGCTGGAAAAGCTCAGCAGGTCCGGCAGCATCTGTGAAGAGAAAAATCGGAGTTAACGTTTCGGG